TGGCACACCCTGAAGTCAGGGAGGATAATTTTGGTCAAGCTACAGGAAAACATTTTATTTCATTTTGTAAGATATCTTGTCGAAATGAGGGCTGAGAGGGGAAGGGAAATTTTATTTCCTCCAGATGCAAACCTGGAGTTARTCCAGGCTGCCTTTGGATGTCTCCACATCCAGCAAGACCTCTGCTCTAACTGAAGAGGAAAATTCCTCAAGGAATTTGCTGTCTCACTCCATGATTTATTTATTTTTAATGGGAGTAAATCAGAAAGGAAAGATCCTTTTATTGTCTTTAATATCCTCAACTTGAGCACAATTCCAAGTCTCAAACCCGTGAAATCCCACAATAGTAATATTTCCATCTTCAAATTGAGTGGGAGTCAAAGAGGTCTGTTAGTCCAGGGCCAGAATGGCTGGGAATTTGCAGGTCAAACCCTACAGGGAAAAAATCAGTTTGCAAAAAAAAGGGCAAACCCCCCCCAAGATCAGGGAATCAAGCATTCCCCTAAAATAAAGGGATTGTCCAGGCTGCACCCTCTGTTCCTGTCCTGACCCAGAGCACAGAGTGTGATCTTTGGCAGAGTCCAACCTGGGAAACTGAAGCGCGGCTTCCCAGTGCTCCCCCCACCCCAAAAAAAAAAACCCTCAATTATCAGAATGAGAATGGGACTCTGTATCTCCATCCCAAAGCTGGGATCAGCTGGGAACCATGGAATCATTAAAGCTGGAAAATACCTCTAAGATCATTGAGTCTGGATTCACCACTAAACCCTGGCTCTAAGCACCTCATCCATGTATTTTCTGAATGCTTCCATGGATGTGATTCCACCACTTCCCCGGGTAGCCTGAATGCTTGACCACCCTTTCAGGGATGAAATTTTTTCCAATATATGTTAAGGGTCAGACTCTTGAGGTCTTTTCCAGCCTTAGGGATTCTGGAATCGGCAAAGTTGCACCTGGAAGCAACAGGGAAGAGCTGAGAGTCAGAATTGCACCTTCTTGTTACTCAACCCTCTCTGTTAATTCAAGTTATAATGATTTGTAGGTGCAACTGATAGAAAGTGAGTTAAAAAAGAAATAAATCAGGCTGTAATGTCAAATTCAGAGTTTCACAGCACACTTTGCCCTGTCCCTGCCCTGGATATCCCTCATGGATATCTCCATTCCCATGAAGCTGCACCAAGGACTCTCAGCTGCCACTGAGCCACTCCAGGGACTGGGCTGGGTCTGCACAAATCATCTGAAGTGGGAATCTCACCYCCCACTCATCACCCCTCCAACTTCTGGTGGGGATAAATCCCCCTTCTCCTTATTCTGGAATAACTCCTAGACCTTCCTGACCCTTCAGYTTCACCATCCACACTGCAAAATCCGGGAATATCAAAGCCATTCCCCAGCTCTGGGAGGGTTGAATGCAAAGCAATCCTTTCGGGACTCACCACTTTCAGTGCACAGGGYGATGCCGAGCACGACCAGGAGGAAAAGCTTCATCCTTGAGAGATCTGGCAGCCTCCAAAATAAGCAGGACCRGGGCAGGGCAGGTTTTATACCTCTGCAGTGTTTGCTTTGATCCAGAGATAATAAGCGGAGGCTGCTGTGTCAGAGGATGGATAATTGGGAGCAGCGTGTCCGGGCTTGTACAGAGAAGGGCATTTTGTTGGAAATTTGGAGGGAGGTGTGTTTTTCCCTACAAATTCTCCTTTTCCTGGTTGTTTCACAACGCAGCTGCCTCAGCTGACGGGTTGTTTCTAATTCTGGAGAGGCGGGGGTGAGAGCAAAACACAAAAACAAAGCAATTTCCCTGTAAAAGAGGAAGGATTTTCCTTCCAGGTCTCAGAGCGGGTTGCATCCTCCAAGATCGTGTCCTGGCACATATGGAAATGGATGGGATTTAAATTTAAAATTGAATTTGGGATTGCAGCTTCTCCCAAATGTCTCCCAGGATTGTCGAGACAGAAAGATCAGAAGAGCAGAATCCTTCCATGCTTTTCAGAGGGGACCAAGCATCATTTTCTGCCTCCTTTTTAAGGCAGYAGTTCAAAATCAGAAATAGTTGTGGGATGTTTTTTATGAGGAGAAAATGTTATCTTATTAGAAAATAAACTCCACTGGGCAAAGAAGAACGGCCATTTAAGTTAAAAAATGGAAATAACACCCACTCCTACTGCTTTGAACAAGCTGGGAATTTTTTCACACATTCACAAAAAAATAAATGTCAGGGAGAAAAACACAAACCAATTAAAGCACGGAGAAGGAAGGGTTGGCCAATCAAGGATCTCAACTCATTAAGTCTTCACAGAACAAAAAAGGTATATGAAATGCCAAACAGGAGTATTCCACTGGATTCCCAGATCAT